TTTAGCATAAAGATAAAATAGCAAACAACTTTTAAAACTTTTGAAAACTATTAAAACAATTACATATTAGCCAATCAGATTTCTTGATACTAATACTAACCAAAATATTCCGGCTGTTTATCTCATCATGTTATATCAGGCATTTAGTTTTTTCAGTTTTTGTTTAAAAATAGTGAAAATGAATGATTAATCATGCATATGCCACTAAATGGCGATACCGAAATATTTTTCTATTTCTTGCAGAACCACGACATAAAAAGTTCTTTTGGAATTGCAATTTTAGTTACAGAAAGCACGCGATAACACGTAAATAAAGCTAGCAAAAGTTTATGCTACTTTATCCATATGCTATTTAAGACAGCTCCGTAACTTTTATTTAATTCCAAGCTCTTATTATAAACTCTAAAATCTCTTCAAATAGACAAAACCAATCTTTTCAGTCTGTGCTTGACGAAAAAGTAAAAACACGAGAAAAAAAATTCGTCAAATTCGTCCACTACTGCTTTGCTCAAAAACAAGCGCAAATATACCGTTAGCAAACTATAAAAACCTATACAGAAGAAGACGCGAAAAGATATTTCAATTGAAAAACTATAGTGCTCACAGCTTGCTCTCAGACACATTTGAAGACAATAAAAAAAACAACATAGCTGGCAGTTTACACAGCGCTGCAAACTGATCTTATATTTACTTACTTGGCACTTCTCTTGAGCCAAAAATATCAAAAAATGCACAAAATGGAAAAAAAAACACATCAAAAAACATTTTTAATGTTTTGATAACTTGATATCAAAAAAAAATTATTCACTGAATGCCCATTACTAAGGTTTAATTAATTGCCTTATCATCAAAAAGGAAAAAAAGGTAACAAAATCGAAAAAGCCTCAAACAACTTTTTCAAGAAGTAAAGTTTCGAAATAGGCTGGCAAAAATCTAAACAATGGCTGCAAAACAATCAGAAGATGACAGAAAAAACACAAGGATAATTTGAAAATCAATTTCTCAACAAAAACGCTAACAAAAATTTGGAAGACACCTAGTACGCCAAAAAAAATCAGTGCAAACAATTAGACTTCGTCCAGATAGTTGATACAATATCATAGTTGATATACTCAAATAGTTGATACACAGAGGCGAAGAGGAGCTTCGTACTCCTTGCAATACACTAACAGAAACATTGCGTTACAAGATAGGGAATAAAAAAGACGGTATTCGATTTTGAAAAAATTAAGTTGAAACGCAGAGGCGAAGCTGAGCTTCGCACCACTTGTTATACAAAACAAGACGAATAAGTCGAATAAAATTCCAAAAGAATTGAAAAGTCGAGTAAAATTCCAGAAAAAAGAAAATGCCAAAAAAACTAGATCTATCGAAAATAAATAAGGCTAGTTTTGAAACAAAAACGTGCCAAGACATTAGAATATAAAATTAGCATCACAAGAAAAATTATCCAGAAACCATTTAAGCCAAAAAAATATAAAAAATTATTAAGTCCACCTCACCTTCAAACACACACACACACACACAAACTCTATTTGCGCGTCAACTGGAACAATATGAGGTCACTAAGCAGATATAAAAATAGCCAAAATCAAGCCGAAAAAAGGAAAATAAAAAAATCCAAGAAAAATTTCAAAAAAAAATTAAGATTAATAGGAAGTTATTAAACCCCATCGCCCTCAAAACAAACATACAGCAAAATGAGACCATTATGCCGATATATAGTAGGCTGAAATCTATCAAGCTAAAAAAAAAACAGAAAGAAAAAACAAAAAATTTTTTTAACAAATCGAGTTGGTAAAATTACAACCAAAAAAACGATAACTTCGAATATTAGAGATAATTTCAAAAAGAACACAAAATATGTATCTGCAGCGGTATAATGATTCAAAATCAGAATTTGTATATTTACATATTACAGATCTTTCAATTATAGTAAAAACTGTTCACAACAAAAAAACCCATACTTTGAAAAATGAAAATTAACGGACGGATACTAGGATGAAAACCACGAATCCGAAAAAAAAACTCAATATTTTTCAGAAAACTAATAAAACGAGCACTATTCAATTACTACCTATGTGTAATGATGGTAATGTTATTTAAAATTTCAAGAAACTGAGCATTTAATTGATTATTCTGTGAACGAAGTTATTGGCCGGAAAAGAAGTCTAGTACCCGGTTGCAACACCCTTGCTGATCGCAAGGGTAACAAGGATAGACGGTAGCTGGGCAAGTAGTGCAGAATGTTCCGGCCATACTCTTTTTGCGAGTCGTGTGATAAACGGAACTGACGAAAACCTAGAATTTAGGCATAATCGCCAGTCAGAGTAAAAAAAATCAATTTTGTTCGCAGAAATTGTTTTGAAAGTTTCAAGTTTTTGATGCCGAAAAAAGCGCTAAAAAAATTAGCTGGAGTTCAACTCATGTTTCATGGTTTATTCTTTTATAATACGCCTACTCGCTTGCTTGACTCGCTCGAAACTCGACTAAAACTTAAAAATAGCAAACAGGCTTTTCTCGACACTGGGACACATTTTTGAAAAAATTTTAATGTCGTTCGATTCAAGGCTGCTCCACCCATTGCGATGATTTTTGTGGTAAATAATTTTGGTTGAAAAGCAAAATAAGCCTGCTCGCTCACCTTATTCGCTCGAAATTAGACAAAAAAAATTTCAAACTAGTTTTTCTCTACACTGGGAATTTTTTTTCAAAATTTATTGATGTCAATCGAATCACGAGTAAAGGGCTTTGATATATATTGCTCAAATTATTCCGATGATTTTTTGTGGTACCCAATTTTGTGTGAAAAACAATTTAAAAAAAACAAAAACACACCCGAATACAAAGTTCCTCCCAATTTTCAAGGGTCGGAACAATAATATAAAAAGACAGCACAGAGAAGTTATCAAAACCACGGGCTAACTTGTTACGTGCGCAGACAAAGTTGTTTAAAATTGAAGTTGAAAGTGTTGATTTCCAAAAAAAGACTTACGTCAAATTTTGGCAACACATGACCTATAGTTTGGTATCTTATTTGCAGAAAAGCTCAAGCGACGCAAAGAAGACTGAAAGAAGTTTACAAATCAAAGATACCAAGCGACCATCTCATGTCAAAATATTTCTTATTTGATCAAATCTGACGAATCTTACGGTTTAACCCAGTCATCAGTTGTCATACAAAATCTCAACTATCAGCAAAGAAAATAACTGCAATGCTCTATTCGGAATAAAGTACTACTTTAGTATCCGATAAAACATTTAATTATCATATTTATATCGAAAAAATATCATATGCAGTTCTATTATAACCCCCAAAACATCACTATTGAACCCGATTCCAATCCCAAACAGAGGATTGAATCAAAAGTAAAACCCAACGAAAAATGTCATCGACTAAACGTCCTTCATCTAGAAATAGCGTTCTATCAGACAGCTCGCGCGGATCAAGCAGTACGCGCACAACTTCGATAGGATACAGAGATACTCTAAACTGGGGCTCAATCGACGCGACTGGAACCCAACGTATTTCTACTAACTTCGCTTCTGCTGCCAACGCCAATGCCGTTAAGTTCAATGACCTTGAACTTTACGGAAACGAACACATGCCAGAGTCTGGAATGGTTGGGGGAGCAACGAAAGACAAGGAACTGGAGATTATTTCAGAAAACAATCGGTTGAAGAAAATGGTGATAATTTGATTTTCGTATGCGCGACTAGCATTTTATTTTTTATCTAATCTGACACAAAATTACTTCAAAATTATTTTAAAAATGGACAAAACTTTGGCTGGTGGTATTTTTTACTTCATTTTGTAACTGAGATGCTTCGTTATAGTTTCTCATTATTTTTACAACAATTTTGAAACATTTCAGAAGACCTCGATACTTAATTTTGAAGCCAAAAACCACAAATTTTAGTTTGAAAAAAGACCATTTACTGCCAGGCGAACACTCTACCTCGGTTGTTCCAGACGCGAACGTTAGCTCTAGACCAAACGTGCAGAATGAGACACTGAATTTTAATTTTATATAAGCTACGCCATCTACTGATTCAGTGCTTATATCAAGCAAAATGTGCACTTGAAAGAAGTCTTTGTTCCGTTCCGAATTGATAAAACTTGCTCATCTCAAGCTTTAAAAACATTAGCTATTTCTTCATTTATTTTGATCTCGAAGGGCTAAGTCATAGATAGAACAAGAATAGAGCAAGAAATTAATAATGATATTACAAGTGTTCCGGTTCGCCTGTGTGCATTTCGTTTGATCAGAATCTTATTGATTAATGAGAGGCGCCGTAAATTGAAACAATTGATCTTGTTTGACTTGAAGAGTATGGGGCTCTTAGGAACTGTCTCGATAGCATTGAAGCTAGATGAATCTAATATTTTAGTATTTCTAAAGACGATTCTGTCGCAAGAGCGTATATACCCGATAGGCAGGTATTGGGAAAATGAAAACACTTTTCAACTTTTTTAAACAATTTTACAAATTTTACAAGAAATATTCATATTCAAGCAGTGTGCCATTTCATGCGTTTCTAAGAAATCTAAACTAATTTCTGATTTTAATCTGAAACTAATTTCTGATTTTTTCAATGAAAACTGGGGAATTTATCGTTTAAGCATTTATTTTCAAAATTTATTGATGTCAATCGAATCACGAGTAAAGGGCTTTGATATATATTGCTCAAATTATTCCGATGATTTTTTGTGGTACCCAATTTTGTGTGAAAAACAATTTAAAAAAAACAAAAACACACCCGAATACAAAGTTCCTCCCAATTTTCAAGGGTCGGAACAATAATATAAAAAGACAGCACAGAGAAGTTATCAAAACCACGGGCTAACTTGTTACGTGCGCAGACAAAGTTGTTTAAAATTGAAGTTGAAAGTGTTGATTTCCAAAAAAAGACTTACGTCAAATTTTGGCAACACATGACCTATAGTTTGGTATCTTATTTGCAGAAAAGCTCAAGCGACGCAAAGAAGACTGAAAGAAGTTTACAAATCAAAGATACCAAGCGACCATCTCATGTCAAAATATTTCTTATTTGATCAAATCTGACGAATCTTACGGTTTAACCCAGTCATCAGTTGTCATACAAAATCTCAACTATCAGCAAAGAAAATAACTGCAATGCTCTATTCGGAATAAAGTACTACTTTAGTATCCGATAAAACATTTAATTATCATATTTATATCGAAAAAATATCATATGCAGTTCTATTATAACCCCCAAAACATCACTATTGAACCCGATTCCAATCCCAAACAGAGGATTGAATCAAAAGTAAAACCCAACGAAAAATGTCATCGACTAAACGTCCTTCATCTAGAAATAGCTTTCTATCAGACAGCTCGCGCGGATCAAGCAGTACGCGCACAACTTCGATAGGATACAGAGATACTCTAAACTGGGGCTCAATCGACGCGACTGGAACCCAACGTATTTCTACTAACTTCGCTTCTGCTGCCAACGCCAATGCCGTTAAGTTCAATGACCTTGAACTTTACGGAAACGAACACATGCCAGAGTCTGGAATGGTTGGGGGAGCAACGAAAGACAAGGAACTGGAGATTATTTCAGAAAACAATCGGTTGAAGAAAATGGTGATAATTTGATTTTCGTATGCGCGACTAGCATTTTATTTTTTATCTAATCTGACACAAAATTACTTCAAAATTATTTTAAAAATGGACAAAACTTTGGCTGGTGGTATTTTTTACTTCATTTTGTAACTGAGATGCTTCGTTATAGTTTCTCATTATTTTTACAACAATTTTGAAACATTTCAGAAGACCTCGATACTTAATTTTGAAGCCAAAAACCACAAATTTTAGTTTGAAAAAAGACCATTTACTGCCAGGCGAACACTCTACCTCGGTTGTTCCAGACGCGAACGTTAGCTCTAGACCAAACGTGCAGAATGAGACACTGAATTTTAATTTAATATAAGCTACGCCATCTACTGATTCAGTGCTTATATCAAGCAAAATGTGCACTTGAAAGAAGTCTTTGTTCCGTTCCGAATTGATAAAACTTGCTCATCTCAAGCTTTAAAAACATTAGCTATTTCTTCATTTATTTTGATCTCGAAGGGCTAAGTCATAGATAGAACAAGAATAGAGCAAGAAATTAATAATGATATTACAAGTGTTCCGGTTCGCCTGTGTGCATTTCGTTTGATCAGAATCTTATTGATTAATGAGAGGCGCCGTAAATTGAAACAATTGATCTTGTTTGACTTGAAGAGTATGGGGCTCTTAGGAACTGTCTCGATAGCATTGAAGCTAGATGAATCTAATATTTTAGTATTTCTAAAGACGATTCTGTCGCAAGAGCGTATATACCCGATAGGCAGGTATTGGGAAAATGAAAACACTTTTCAACTTTTTTAAACAATTTTACAAATTTTACAAGAAATATTCATATTCAAGCAGTGTGCCATTTCATGCGTTTCTAAGAAATCTAAACTAATTTCTGATTTTAATCTGAAACTAATTTCTGATTTTTTCAATGAAAACTGGGGAATTTATCGTTTAAGCATTTATAAGATCAAAATATAAACTTTCTGCATATTTCTTTTCTAACTTTGTTTAAAAACAAGATAAATAGTAAAGAGTTTTTTTCGCAAGACTTTGATTTCCGCTCCCTGTCGATAAGTTTCAATAATACTTATATCAGAATGAGGGTTTCATTTTTTACTTAACATGTCTTTGTTTGTCAGGTTCGATGTATTTGTGTTTGTCACATACTGACGACAATTCTAGTCTTCGTTCTAATTGGCTTGACGGCCGCAATCGCTTACAGTGCGAACAAGAAATCGAACGAATTGTCGGACACCAAAGCTGATCAAACTCAAGTTAATGAAATAAAGATCATGAACGAGCCTGTAAATAAGGATATTGCAGACTTAAAAACAAATCACATTGAACTAGAAACAAAATTCCACAGACTATACACCGCTAATAACCTGAAATTTAACAAACTGGAACAAAAAACTAGAGAAATCCAGGCATTGAGCGATTCGCGGTATTCTGAGACTGATCAAAGGTTCAACGAAGGAAAGACAACTTTGATGGAATTGGAGACGAATACAGCGTCAGAATTGAAATCTTTTGAAAATATTGTGAGTAACGGTCAGCAATTGGACGAGATGAGACTAGAGGCAGCAAAGATGGATCTCCAAGCGGAAATCAAGAAGGAAAAAGATTCCATTGACTCGAAAATTGACCAAATCTACAAACACCTGAACGAAATCAAAAACGAAATCGCAAATTATCATTAAACAATTGTTATTGAGTTATTGTTGAGTTTTTTTTTTCGCTAGCCATTGAAATTTATGCCTTGTTTTTAAAATAATGCTCTCAAGGTGCTTCGAAAATTGTACAACGATAATAGCCAAAGCCTATATCTGGCAGGCAATTGACAATGAATACAAACCGGAACTTACAGCAAAAATAGCCAAAAGTTAACGTAGTAAAACTTTCTTGAAATAAACACGCACGATTGTATGGTCAATACTTGGCAACAAGATGCAAACCTACCATTGAAATTTCGCAGAAAACTATCGAGCGGAACGTAAATCAACTTTTTATTTTTGTTCCCTTTAAGAAAAATCTTTTAAGGAAAATTCTCCGTACGTGCCCAATCAAGAATAAAGCTGTCACATTCAATTTGACCACACAGAGGCGAAGCGGAGCTTCGTAGCGTTTGCAATACATTCCAAGCGTTGCAATGCACGCTATCGACTAGAAAAGTATACCGAAATAACTAAAACAAAAAAAAAGGGGTAAAAAATTGTATTTTCAATTTAAGAAAAACAGCCGAGAAGCACAATTACCAGCGTTTTAGTGTTTACTGAGCGATGGTTAAGCCAAACTTACGTGAAAGGAAATCCATGATCCGAAAACAAAAAAACATAGAGAATTGTTGTTTTAAAACAATTTTGAGCGATTAAGTTTAAATCCATGAATTTTTACTCCACAAACGACCTGACAAATTTTTCAAAACAAAAATATTTTTTGTTCATCAAGCCACACAAATAAATTTCGACAGAACCGATGAAACATACGCCGCAACCAGTCACGCCGAATTAAGAAGAAAAAAGGTTAACATGCAAGGCCAGGGCAAGTAAAACTATAAATTTAATAGGAAATCATAATACTTCAACTTACAATAAAATTTGCGAACAATTCAGGAAAATTGGTGACATGATAACTAAGTCGACAAAAATTAGCAAAGAAATAAAAGCCCGACAATTCAAATTTTCCCGGAAAAAAGTCTTTCAATTTCATACATACTGAAAAAACAAGGTGTCCGACTGGGACTCGGATCACGAAGCACAGGAGGCAAAGGGAGCAAAGGACTCGATCCACAAACCAAATCATAGGAGCCACTTGTAAGCGGTTCCCGACTACAAGAAACGTCTTCTCGCAAGCGTAATGAGGAAAGCCAAGAAAACAATTAAGCCTTAAAATCATACGAAGAGTCTGGTTTTAAATTTCCCAAAAAGCTTTAGCAAAACTAAAACCGACAAGGAACAATTTATTCTCCGCTAAACTATTGTGGCATTTCCGTCAAACAGGTTTAGATCAAAACAGCGAATTTGGCAATTATGGTATTGCTATAAAATCAAAATAGCGATATAAGCTTCTGAAAACGTATCCGTAGGGAAATGATGTGAACATTTATATTGTAATTGATTTGCTGTGTTATCACAAAAAACTAATCGAAATCGTCAAGGAAAACTTCTAACACTGACAAAAAAATCTGAGCAATATTAAATTATTTAAACTTATAACACATCGTCGTTTCGCACAACTTACGATACAAAACAAGGAAGCCGCTAAGTCGAAAAAAAATCCAAAAAAAAATCGAAAATGTCGAAAAAACTAAATCTATGATATTAAATAATGCTACTTTTGAAAGAAAAAAAAAACAAAACAATATAATATTGCAGACTTAAAAACAAACCATATTGATCTAGAAACCAAATTCCACAGACTGGACACCGCCACCTGAAATTGAACAAACTGGAACAAAAAACTAGAGAAATCGAGGCATTGAGTAATTGGCGGTATTCTGAGACTGCTCAAAGGTTCAACGAAGGAAAGACAACTTTGACGGAATTGGAGACAAAATATATGGATACATTGTCAGAATTGAAATCTTTTGAAAATAGCGTGAGTAACGGTCAACGATTGAATGAGACGAGACTAGAGGCAGCAAAGACGGATCTCCAAGCCGAAATGAAGAAGGAAAAAGATTCCATTAACTCGAAAATTGACCAAATCTATAAACACCTGAACGAAATCAAAAACAAAATCGCAACTTATCATTAATTAAAAATTGTTATTGAGTTATTGTACAGTGTTTTTTTTTCGCTAGCCATTGAAATTTATGCCTTGTTTTTAAAATAATGCTCTTAAGGTGCTTCGAAAGCATTTCCAAATTGTACAACGATAATAGCCAAAACCTATATCTGGCAGGCAATTGACTATGAATACAAACCAATACAAAAAATAACGTAATAAAACTTTCTTGAAATACATACGCACGATTGTTTGAGGGAGGGGCAGTCAAAAATTAGCAAGAAGATAAGAACCTACCATTGAAAATTTGCAAAAAACAATCGAGCCGAACGTATATCAACTTTTTATTTTTGTTCCTTTTACGAAAAATCTTTTACGGAAATTTCTCCGTACACGCACATTCAAAAATAAAGCTGTCACGTTCAGTTTTACCACACAGAGGCAAAGCGGAGCTTCGCAGCGTTTGCAATACAAAGCAAGCGCTGCAATGCACGCTATTGACTAGAAAATTAGACCGAATTAACTAAAACGAAAAAAAAACAGGTGTAAAAAAATTGTATTTTCAATTTTAGAAAAAAAGCCGAAAAGCACAATTACCAGCATTCAAAAATCTTTGAGTACTTACCGAGCAGCGGTTAGGACAAACTTACGAGAAGAAATCTATTGAGCCGAAAACATAGAAAATTGTTGTCTTTAAGCAATTTTGAGCGATTAAGTTTAAATCCATGAATTTTTACTCCACAAACGACCTGACAAATTTTTCAAAACAAAAATATTTTTTGTTCATCAAGCCACACAAATAAATTTCGACAGAACCGATGAAACATACGCCGAAACCAGTCACGCCGAATTAAGAAGAAAAAAGGTAAACATGCAAGGCCAGGGCAAGTAAAACTATAAATTTAATAGGAAATCATAATACTTGCACTTACAATAAAATTTGCGAACAATTCAGGAAAATTGGTGACATGATAACTAAGTCGACAAAAATTAGCAAAGAAATAAAAGCCCGACAGTTCAAATTTTCCCGGAAAAAAGTCTTTCATTTTCAAACATACTGAAAAAACAAGGTGTCCGACTGGGACTCGAATCACGAAGCACAGGAGGCAAAGGGAGCAAAGGACTCGATCCAGTAACCAAATCTTAGGAGCCACTTGTAAGCGGTTCCCGACTACAAGAAACGTCTCCTCGCAAGCGTAATGAGGAAAACCAAGAAAACAATTAGGCCTTAAAATCATACGAAGAGTCTGGTTTTAAATTTCCGAAAAGCTTTAGCAAAACTAAAACCGACAAGGAACAATTTATTCTCCGCTAAACTATTGTGGCATTTCCGTTAAACAGGTTTAGATCAAAACAGCGAATTTGGCAATTACGGTATTGCTATAAAATCAAAATAGCGATATAAGCTTCTGAAAACTTATCCGTAGGGAAATGATGTGAACATTTATATTGTAAATGATTTGCTGTGCTATCACAAAAAACTAATCGAAATCGTCAAGGAAAACTTCTAACACTGACAAAAAAATCTGAGCAATATTAAAATATTCAAACTTATAACACATCGTCGTTTCGCACAACTTACGATACAAAACAAGGAAGCCGCTAAGTCGAACAAAAATCCAAAAAAAAATCGAAAATGTCGAAAAAACTAAATCTATGATATTGAATAATGCTACTTTTGAAAGAAAAAAAACAAAACTATATAATCCGAAAGTAGCATCGGAAGGAAATTTACCAAGCGGTAACAGAGCCGAAAATACCTTCGCAGAAACCTTTTACGCCGAAAAAAATTTAACACGACTTCGGACTTATAAGAAGTTATTAGGTCCCACTCACCCTCAAAACACACACACACAAAAACTTTTTCCACTCGTCAGAGGCGGCATGAGGCTACTAGGCCAAAATAAAATAGTCCGAAATCTATTAGGTCGGAAAAAAAGAAATTGGAAAAGAACATAAGGTTAAAAAGATCAAAAAAAATTAAGAATGATGAAAATTTATCAAGTCCCTATCACCCTAAAAACACACATTGAAACTTTTTTCGCTCCGCAAAGGCGATATGAGGCCATAATGATATAGGCCAAAATCTATCCAGACCAAAATTAAATGAAAAAGTAAAATACATTTTAACAAATCGAGTTGGTAAAACCAAAAATACAGTAGTTTCAATAATACAATATAGTTTAAGCAAATAAAACCCATGCTTTAGAAATTAAGTCGATAAAAAACCGTAAAAGACAAAAATGGCATTTTGAGAAACCGGAAAATAAAACGACGGAAACTAGGACGAAAGCTAACCTCCTGAAGTAGCTAACCTCCTACAACAGAAAATACCTGTCAGCCTGGATACCGCAGAGGCAGCGAGTAGAAGGGAGAGGAGAGCGAAATACAAAGCCTTCTACGGCGAACATGAAACAACAAGAAAAACAGCGAAGTAAAACCACGGTAGAAACAGAAGGGAAGAAGTCACCACCAACTAGTTCAGGACGGGGCAGTCATCACTCTGTAAGGCCACCCTCGCTCGGATATGTGCAGCCGACTCCCCAGAGTGCCCTGACTGCGGCCAAGAAGATACCGTCCACCATGTGTTGCATGAATGCCAACGAGGAGAAGAAATCAGACGACTAGGAGGATCTGACGACGCCCACTTCATCAAACACCCGGGCGACCTCCAGCGGCTCCTAGGGCGGATGGGGCGAACGTATGTTGACGCCGATGCGTCAGTAAACGCGTCGTAAGAAGAAGAACGAAAACTACGATTCCAAAAAAAATCAACATTTCAATAAACTTATTTGAAAACATTCACTGCCTAAAACGAACTCCACCTATCTTCTACCTAAAAGATGTTAGTTATATTTGAATTTCCAAGAAATTGAACATGTCAGTCATTTAAGAAAAATATCATTCCTACTACGCTGACCATTCTGCGAACAAAGTTATTTACGGGAAAAACGTCCAGTAACCGATTGCAATACCTTTGCGTTAAGGAGCTGCTACTAAATAGACAATATGTGGGTAGACGCCCATTGAGCTGAAAACAAAAAGCCATGAGACAGTGTTCTCATAAGAAGATTTTGAGCAAATAAATTTGAAAACTTTGAAATCTTGCAACATACTACCTGAATGTTTCAAAAAATAATCAATCAGTTTTTTTGCCTGTAAAACAACGCAAAATAGGTTAATTAAGCCGATAAAATAAGCCGGAACCATTTATGCCGAATGAAGCGTTCAAGCTAAAAAAACAAAGAAAAACCAAGGAGAATATACAAGGGCAGGTCGATTAAGTTTACAAATTACTGGGGTAAATCAAAATCACTTGCATATAGCCAAAACATCCGGGATAAAACTGCCTGCACCATTGGAAACCCTAAAAAGATTTTATGAATGCTATAAAGAAGTCAAGTTTTCAAAAAAGTCAGAAAGTTAACCAAAACTCCCGGGCTTTTTCGTCTCAAGCATAAGGGTTATAGCAATTTGGAATAAAGCTAAGCCATCGAGCTACGGTAACCAAGCCGACAAAAATAAACAAAAAAGCACAAAAACTCAAAAAAAAGGCCCGGCCGGATTCAAACCGCAAGACTTTGCCATCTAAGACGGCTGTAATACCTCTACGCCAGATGCGCCGGATGGTTGATTGGATTTGAATTTATAATAACCAAGCGGTAACAAAGCCGAAATACCTGAGCAGAAACACAGCCGAAAAAAAAATTCTTAACTTTTGAAAATGTTAAGTCCCTTTTCCCCTCAGAGCACACACACGCGCATAATTATTTTTTCGGTCTTATCGACGCACTAAAAGGCCACTAAGCCAATATTATTTAGGCCGAAAATTATAAAGCCGGTAAAAAAAACAGGAAAAAAAATTTCAATCGAGTTGCTAAAACTACAACCAATCTGAAAAGCAAATTTTAATTCGGCGGGATTTTTAAAATTCTAAAAGAAAATGAAGTGAGAACTGTTTACAGCTAAAATAAACAATTGTTAGATGTCGCAACCAAGCCGGCAAAACATGAGCAGACAAATAATAGGCTGAATTTTTTTTGATCCGGAATATGTACCGTTTGAAAAAACTGGTCCTGGTCAGATTCGAACACAGCAACTTTGCCGTCCCAGGCGTATTCATTAACCCAGGCTAAGTGTGCAAGAGACACTACAAAATTGGAAATCACGTTGAAGCAAAGTACGTCAGAAGACCAATGAGTGCTGTGGACAAAGTTATTACGGGGAAAAAAGCCTGGTACTCGATTGTAATACCCATGCTTATCGCAAGGGTAAAAAACAAGAAGGATTTGGAGTAGCTCATTTCTAGGCTACAATTGAAACCCTGTAAGAATATGCAGATTCCCAACCTTCCAAAAAATTTCATCTATATCGCTTCAATTAAATTTGATCTTCGCAAGTCATATAACGCTGAACGCTAAGAAAGGAAACTCTGGACGCAATCTTTCAAGCCTTCGACCCTAGAAAAACAATCTAACTTAATCCAATTACAACCAACTTTTTCTATGCCTGCTACACAAAACTTGACTTTTCTGTCAAACCTACCCCACTCAATAAAACACACTAAGAAGACACAATTGAATAGTACACAAGAGCACCACGGCAATTTTGCCAGAATATATTCTCACTAGCGTAAATAATGGACTTGAAGTTGAAATTAGAACTCAGCTGTAAGCATAACGTTTGCCACTCCGGCACATTGCCTTATGAAAGACGCTAAATTTTCGGCAACACAATTATCGGACATAAAAAACGATTGATGCCTGTCCAACTACCCAAACATAGCCAACAGACAGTTTGAAATGAGTAAAGGAACGCAAGGAAACAGTCAAAAAATATTGATTTGTTTTCTGTAATAACCAATTTTGCAAAATCGACGTAGAAAAAACTGGTGGCGTTCACTCTTTCTGCAGTTGAAGAACAATTGATGATTGACACTTTTTTATAAAATGAATCCAATATAAGAAAACTGGATCGTAGGTAACTTTTTTTTATTCCGCTGGGAAATCTAAAATAAAAGCCACTTTCGAAACTAGCAGCCGATCATGTTTTTGTGACCCTTACAATTTTGCTGTTCGAAATTGGAATTCGAAATTGGAATTCTTTTAACAGAAAATCGAAAGTGAAACCGCGAAAAATTAAAGTTGAGCATAAACAAATTTTAATTTTTTCCTGAGAAAATTCTTAAAATCAGTTCATCGACTCTTTAAAAGATCTGCATTTATGTTAAACTGCGGTTGTTTGATCAAATTTTAAAAAATTAAGAAAAATGGAATTATTAAGCAAATGCATTGCAGTGCAATTGCCTCTTTCAATTCCACTATTTCGTCAAATACTAGCTAGGCAGTCGGAAACTATCACAATTCCAAAATAGTTTCGGACGCCAAAATTGCCTAAGCACAGGCGAAGCGGAGTCTCACACCATTTGTGATTCAGCACAAAACGAGCATTACCAGCTAGTCGAACGAAAATTGTTTTGAAGTTTTCATAAATTGACATGATTTGTCTCGAACTAACTTCCTTTCGAGGTAATCATTTCAAGAAACAAAATTAAAGACAATATTTCAACAGAATTTCAACAAAATTAAAGACTTGTCACTGGAATCCACGTACATACAGACACAAAATTGCGCGCCTATCCAGGGCACAGTTTGGCCTCGTAATGATGATTTCGTGATTTCGCCAAACAAGTTGACTGTCAACCTCTAACAATTGTTTACATTAAAAAATGTTTATTATCCGATTTGGTAATGCTTCCTAATTGCAATAGTAAATATATATGTTATTTAACGTAAACTCACGTCGATTCAGGTTAAGATTTGATTTGTTATAATTTGCCACCATTCCGTTTTTTAAATTGAAACTAAGTCAATTAAGTGTTATTTGAATGAAATGAGCTTTTTTCAAGCCTTTTTCCCTTTTTGCATCCTTGTTTTTATCATACCTGTTACTGTCAATATGCGGTTTAATAAACCCCGCAGCATCAATGTCCAAAACATGCACAAGCTGTCGAGGAGAGTTCGAAAAATGAGCTTCACGTTTAACTCGCTCAATTACTGCCAGAGTCTGTTCCGACCAATTGGCACTCTCAAACTCCCGATAGCCAACAATAGCATCGTCCCAGTGATCTCGCTGGTATTTGAGTCGTTTTAACTTTTTCTCACTTTCATTCAAAATTTGCTCTTCTTCTTTCTGTGAAATGAAATTAGGAATCAGTTTTAATTTCGATTGTGTTATAGGAGAGTGTTTGAGGGCTGCAGAAGCTATCATAAATGTTTTGTCAATTATTGTCATATTTAACTCGTTTGTTTAACTCCAACGCTCCTGTTTAACTCATGCTTAACTGAAATTATTTCCAGTTCTCAAGACATCCTGACGATACTGTCGCAAAAGAACCTCTCCAATGCTCTTTTTCTGCGCTACCAAATACAGGAGCAGGTTTTGGTACCATTTGCAGGACTTGTCGCGCTTCGGTCTACCACGTGAAGGCGGCACTGTTGAACCCTATCCAAAATTTGTGCACCCTTCGTCTCCAACCTACTCATGGAAAAAAACTACTTAACCCAATGACTGATTTTTATTTGGGGCGTCAAAAAATTACTAGGGGGTTTTAATGGGAAAGATAGAAGAAAGCCTACCTCATAACCAGCTGAAGAGCTTATCATTGAGCGGAAAAATTTCGCTGGTGGTTTTTGTCGTTTTAGAAATCTTTTTTACCATTCGTCTTTTTTCGAGTGAAGAAAACCGAAGAATAATTCGAAGATATTATTGGTGGGCTTGTACGTACTTGTTTGTAACTGACTAACTGGTTATAAATTCAACCAACCAAATGAACTGAAATTTGGTATGGTAATAGTATACCTTCGAGTGATCAGAAGTCGTTACAAACTCTAAGCACAGAAGCGAAGCTGCACTTCGCACACAGAGCTCCATAAAAGGATACGCAAGAAAAAAATGCCAGAAAAAGAAAAATGCCCAAAAGAGCTCCATAAAGGCAAAAACAAAAATGTCAGAACAAAAAATACAGAAATAAAATCAACTCTGGGTTTCGAACTTAGAACTCCCGCCCAAAAATCGTTTACCTCAAACTTTTATCCATAGCTTGCTTCTGACGTTCTAAAACTTTTTCGCATTGTCTGATCTTAGATATCAGATGAAAAAACGTTTTGCCTTAATTTTTGTTCCGCTCTGAAATTCGATAAGTAAATTCCACTTTCGAATCTAGAAGTCGGCCACGTTTTTCGTGACATTTACATTTTGCTGTTCAAAAGTGAAGTTGGCCTTCCTTTTAAGATAGGAAACAATTGAATTTTAAAATAAACCGAAAGTCAAACCCCGAGAAAGTAAATTTGAGCCTCAACAAACTTTAGACGGACGTTTCCTGAAAAAAAAACGAATTGCCTCTTAAAAACTTTGCAAAAAGAAAACGACTTTCTCGATTTTTTTAAAATGGGGAGTATGTTTTGAGGAGTCTGTTTAGGTGCGACCTTTGAATAAAGCTAATATCTCGTTTACTAAGATTTCGTTATAATTATGGAGATATATTATCCATCGTTCATTCGATTTCGAGAGCAATGATAGCGACGATGATGAAGACATGCTTACGCCTGACAAAAACATCAATCAAATATTGGTTGTCTACAATGTGTTAATGATTTGAGTTATGTTCAACATCACACTTTCAACATCACAATTCTAAAAAGATTTCATTTGTAAAATCACACACTTCATTAAAAAACTTCTTGTTCAATTAAGTTTGTTATTTCATGTCTGGAATGTCTTGGATATAACTTGGAATGGATATAAATTGGAACGTCTTAGATATTTTTTGGATAAAAGAAGGCTTCTTTTACCTAAGGAAAAATGATGAAAAGTTGTGCACAACTACTGGCTTATATGAAGGTGATACTCTGGGTGTTAATGTATGGTGTAATGAATTGTTTCAATGGTGTTTTTCCATCTTACTCCCGCCAAGTGGACTCAATAGTGGTACTAATAGTCTAAAACTTTATTGCCCAACATGAAAATCTAGAAGCACTTCTAAGTCTCGAGTCTCCGATTAATGTACTGTGTTCAACCGAAACTTGGTTCTAAATGGAAGTGAATATGTTTGCAATCAAAGGAGTTCATACAATTAAAAGCAGGAACCGGAAAACTAGGCGTGGAGGTACTATAAAGCAACTGAGTGACTATGTAAACTTGATGAAGCAACTGCATACTAATCTACCTGAATCAGAAGCAGTACTTGAAGCTTTTAGGATTAAGATGCTCGTAATAGTCGCATATGAACATCCTAGCTATGATTTTAAAAAGTTCGTGAATGAGTTAGACAAGGACTAAGAGATGCTTAGTAATTACAAAATACTAGTTGTTCTGACTGGTGATTTTAACATCAATCTACTCGCAGAAAATCAACTCCAACAATCGTATTTTAACATCATTTTTGCAAATGGTTTAGAACTTTTAAGTAGAATTGCAACTCGCATTACTGGGGAGACTGGAACGTATATTGATCGCCTGCTAGCAAAAAAGATTGAAAAATCATCCGCCAGAATTCTTTAAACCGAATTTTTCTCAGACCATTCTCCAGTTACATTGCAGCTCAAATTTGGAACAATTTGATTTGACATATTCCTCATTTCGAGACATGTCCTTCTTGAGTAACGAAAAAGTTGAAATCGACTTTTCACTCCTTTTGAAGCAAACGCTGGACAGATCTAATCTGGTAGGAGCCAGAAACCATTGTAGCAAATGGCAAATTCTCGATTACAATTATGTTACTGTTGTGAAACAAAACTTAGGATTCCCCGTTTTCAACAAAATCAATGATAGGTCAACCGAACTAGAATGTGCAATATCTTTTCAGTACAGCAGATCGCTATTTTCAGTACAGCAGACCTTTTCAGTACAGTAGATCGCTCTGCTTCAGTATAAAATTTCTAATTCTCAGGTTTTGTGATTTCGTCAATAACTGCTCGTACTATGACTTAATTGCTAATATTAAAAAAAAAATATTGAGATAGGTTATGCAGAATAATTAAGTTTAGGCAATTTTTATAATTGACTAAACTTATTTATTCTGCATAACCTATCGCATTATTTTTTTATACGCAAGTAGAACTAACATTTGTCCTTGCGATACAACACAAACATAAGCATAAATCGAAACAAAACGAAAAACGCTGAAAAATTGGATGAACCTAAATGTTCGCATGTCTCGATAAAAGATAACTAGGGGTCCAGCTAACAGTGGAGGTGGCTGTTTGATACTTTTGGAATTTTGTATACTGATGCGGTATGAAATGAGTTATTTCAAAAATTGGGCTTTGTTGTTGGAAAAAACTTAGTTGTTTCTCCACTTAAATAATTAAGACTGAACATTTTTGAGAAATTGGAATCTTCGCAAAAACATAACAATTTTTGTAAATGAGTCGCTGCTTCTGAGGGAGAAACTATCGCTACCGGTTCTTTCGATTTAACACTTCATCTTAGATTTGCTGGGGTAGTTTCTAAGTAATGTCAAAAAGTTTCTAAACAACTGTCACAACTTGATTTTCCGGAATCGATAACATTTTTCTGTAAGCGAAGGTCCTAACCGTCCGAGATATGGGTCAGATATTTCACCCATTGATGTTTTTCGAAGGCTGTAGACAGCAGGGTAAAGTAAAAAAAAAGTACTAGGAGATTATGCATTCACACAGAGTAGGCGGACTTTCCACTATTGATACCCTTTTTTGAGAATGGAAGAATCATTTTCTACCGAACTAAATTTGTTGCATAAAAGAATGTGAAAAAAAACTAAGCGACTTTAGCGTCTCAAAAAACTATAAATAAAAAACCAAATCCTGATTTTGTTGAACAGGAGTTTTTGGGTCTTCGAAACTAAGCAATAAACGTTGACTAATCGGATACATAGTCCGAAACTGTTTTAACCGAAAAAAAATCTTTAAAAAAAAACAAAATTATTCGAAATCGGACTTGGTAAAATTGCAAATTACAGGACTTTCAATTATGTTAAAATATTTAGAACTAAAACTTTTAAAAAAAAAACGGAAAAAGAAACGCCAAAAATTAGACCTAAAACCATTAACCGGAAAAAATCAACAATTTTTCAAGATGTTTACTTGAAAAAAATAATTATTGCCGGAAATGTACTCCACCTAGATGAGGTAGTTTTATTTGAAATTTCAGAAATTGAGCATATCTTGAAATTTACCATATCTACAAAATTGACCATTCTGTGAACAAAATTATTTATGGGAAAAAAGTCTAGTACCCGATTGCAATACCCTCCTTGCTTATCAAAAGGGTAATAAAATTAACAAACCTTTCACTTAAATGGTTGTTTGTGGCAAGCAAACCATTTTCGTTTCAAGTCCCGTACCTTAAAATGCTTTTAGAGCCCTAAGTCATCTTCAAACCTATCTGTCATAAGACCAAGTGGGTTATCTCTATATTTGCAATTATCTTGCATTTACATGAAATTACATTATTTACAGAGATTTGTGATATAAATACAGACTATGTTACAAAGTTCTGAAGTTCACCAATTAGCTTGACTATTATCTCTTTTGGCTTCCTTTCTTCTTAAACTTTCTATTTCAGCAAATTTCTGTTTCTTTAAATCGTCTATGATCTGCTCTTTAAATTTAGGGTCTTTAGCTGGATCTTCTGTACTTTGTCCTGAGTCTTGGCTTTTCTGAGGGAAAAAATCGCAGAAGCTCTTCTTCCAATCCTCCCAAGAATGAACATCGCCTCGATTTAACGAGTTCGAATCTGAAGACGGAATTCCAATCGCCATCATATCATCATTTCCAGCACTTACTGCGACAGGTTTGCTTTCATCTATTGACACAACTTTCTGCATTGGAGCTCCGAACGCCATGTTATTCATGAACACTTTGAAATTTCTTAAAGTTGCCGGAACTTTCTCTGATACAAACAGTACATGCGCTGCATATGTATGAGCAACAAACCTCAGTGCTCTGCCTATCATTTTCTTCTCCACCGAATCCAAATTGACGAACAAGTCAAACTTGGTTCCAATTATCAGCAGAGGAACCGGAAACATGGACGACGAATCAAATCCGTTCGCAAAACCCTGCTTTCTGTCAGAATTATTCCGATCTACAGATCGTTTCACGTCTGCATTCGCGGCCAACGCCTTTTCGATCTGCTGTTTGAGCTCTACAATGAAGTGCTCCATTGTGAACCAAATAGTCTGAGGCTGAGACAAATCAAGGGTCAGAACAACTGATAGCCCTGTAACCGTTTCGGGAGTAATTATTGCTTCTGTAAGGTCGCTCAAAAATGTACCGCCAGCCAGCTCCCATAAATTCACGACGTCTTTTTCAAGAGAAAAGGACTTCGGTCTTCTTGCGAATGTGTACTCTAGCGCAACTGATGGCTTGGGACGCTCTTCGTTCTTTTCGCGAAACTTAAGAAGCAATGAGGTTTTGCCAGATTGCTTAGCACCTACAAATAGAACAGACCTGTCTTCTCCAAGCAGCTTCTCTTCCCTCTTCTTTTGATTTTGAGCCTGCACTTCGTCGCAGGCTAGTGACCACACAGTATCCGCCATTTACATCTGCAAATGAAATATTCCTTCAGCTAAAATTTCAACATCTGACATAGATTCCCATACTATATATCATATTTCATACCTCAGATTAAAAGTAACCTGTGTTGTGGCGGTATGTTTTCCAATTTAAAGATAAAAATATACACATTTTTCGTTTATTATTTTCGGCAATAAACTTTAATAAATTAAAGAACATAGGCGCTACGCGCAATACACCGAAGGCATAGAAACTGAAGATAAAACCAAACAACTTGAACAACTAATAATTGAAGAATAACAGTTCTAGAACAAAAAATCGTACTAATACATGTATACACCAAAATTTTGCTATATCGAGAAAGAGCCTGAAATAACAGTTCTAGAACTAAAAATCGTACTAACACATGTATAGGTTAAATTTTTGATATATCAACGAAGATCATAAAATAACACTTCTAGAACTAAAAATCGTACTAACACATGTATACACCAAAATTTTACTATATTGACAAAGAGCCTGAATAACAGTTCGTGAGCTAAAAATCGTACGAACACATGTATACACCAAAATAAATAAAGATGAACAAATAAAGAAACAAACATACGCAATCACGTGACATAGCGCGATATAGTACAGCCCACATGATAATTGATAACTGTGGACGTTATTTGTCGACACTTGACAACAGACAACATTAAAAAAAAAACCCCGTTACACGATACCATAACACCTTGACTAAAGTCTTCGGTGTAATAAGATATTATAACGCATAGGCACTTCATGATACAAGTTTGCAATCGGGATAAGGGTTTTTTCTAATTTCGAATTGTGCCTGTCATGCTTGCTCTTGTAGCAGAAACCGAAAATCAAAAGAGAACGGCCAAAAAATTCAGCCCTGAGCCCAGTTGCCATTCGCAATTGGTCTATATAAACATGACTTGAGTAGAGTTGTCTTGATCCTGATAGGAGACTAGAAGAACACTTCAGGCAAGCTGTCCGGAAGGCAAGTTGTCATACAAGTGAACCATTGTGCAGCTAGAGTAAACCAAGAACTGATTCAAATGAACACGAACTGTTCGAAAGGTCCAGAACGTGACTTTTCCTTCAAACTGACAAAATTTCTACAGCTTACTTACTTTTTTCAGGCAACTTGCATCTCTTCCACGATTCAAGTGAACCACAGTTTTGTATGAACCAAAGTTCAGGCAAGCTATCAGGAAGTTTGATTCATATAAGTGAACCATTGAGCATGTAGAGTGAACCGCAACTTGACCTATCGGTCCATATTATGATTTGTAATTTAAAACTACAGACCATTCCAACTTGACGAAATAATTCCATACCTCCTTTTGAAGCGATCACAAATAACGGCTATTGTCTACTGCTGGACAAAGAACACTGCCGATATCTTCGAAGATCTGCAGGAAACAGATATAGTTGTCATCAAGAGAATATCTCATATTAGAGAGTATCTCCAGCTACATATACCACTATCGTCCAAATATTAGGATATCGAGATCACTTAACCGGCAATTTTTCGAAAACACAGGGAGACAGAACAAGAAGCCATGGCAGGGACGTTTTGTAGGGTAAAGACGCGAATGACGCAGCTGTGGGATTTCAGAAGCAGTAAGATACTATTTATCCGCTAGGGCCTCTCATTTTTGCGGTCACCCTGCACTCTCTTGTCGAATCTCTCAAGTCGGAAGTCCCCGGTCTCACCCTCAACTGCTGGTAATTGAGGGTGAGGGTGAGACCAAAGAACACTGCCGATATCTTCGAAGATCTGCAGGAAACAGATATAGTTGTCATCAAGAGAATATCTCATATTAGAGAGTATCTCCAGCTACATATACCACTATCGTCCAAATATTAGGATATCGAGATCACTTAACCGGCAATTTTTCGAAAACACAGGGAGACAGAACAAGAAGCCATGGCAGGGACGTTTTGTAGGGTAAAGACGCGAATGACGCAGCTGTGGGATTTCAGAAGCAGTAAGATACTATTTATCCGCTAGGGCCTCTCATTTTTGCGGTCACCCTGCACTCTCTTGTCGAATCTCTCAAGTCGGAAGTCCCCGGTCTCACCCTCAACTGCTGGTACCTTGATGATGGTATTTGTGCCGGCGACGAAGACACCTTGCTCAAGGCTCTCGAATTCATCACTTCCAACGGCTTGCATCTCGGCCTCAAAGTCAAGCACAGTAAGTGTGAGTTGTGGGCCCCTGTGGAGTTCTCGTCCATCCCCGTTTCTATCCCGAGAGCAGCGTCTAATGGCTTTGAGCTTCTTGGCGCCCCCATTGGTGATACTGAGTTCTCAGTTAAAGTCCTGGACAAACGCATCTCGAAAGCCACCAAATGTCTTGAAAAGTTACCTCTTCTTGATGACCCCCAGCTCTCACTTGGCATCACTCGCACTTGCCTTGCTGCTCCCAAGCTGACGTACTCTCTTCGCACTCAGCCGCCCTCTCAGCCTGTCGCAGCTTCCCTGCAAGTTTTTGATGAACTCCGCGATGCTCTTTCTGTCATAGTTGGCTCACCTGTTCCTGATCTTGCCTGGTCCCAGTCTTCCCTGCCTATCAAAGATGGCGGACTTGGCGTCCGGCAAGCTCGCGACCAACACATCCCTGCCTTCCTAGAGTCTTCGTGTCAGTCAGCTCATTTGGTCTCGTTTCTTACCGAATGCGACATCACTGATACGCCGGAGTTCCTGCGTGCCTCTAACGACTTCCGTGAACAGTCTGGAAGCGTTAACACTCCCGGTTTTACTCAAGAATCTTTCCAAGAGAAACTCGATAAGGCCACCTACAACGCTTTCTTCTCGTCTCTTCCCGATTCCCGCGAGCAAGCTCGTCTTCAGTCGCTCTCTCTGCCTTACGCCGGCGCTTGGCTTACCGCAGTCCCCATTAAAGGTCTTGGCCTGCACCTGCTTCCTGCTGAGTTCCAAGCTGCTGTCAGATACCGCCTTGCTCTTCCTGTGTTCGCGTCTGCTCGTAGGTGCCCCGCGTGTCCGTCTGGCATTCTGGACGTCCTCGGGGACCACGCTGTCGCTTGTGGGGGGGAATGGTGGCCGGATCTCCCGTCACGACAGACTACGGGACATTATTTTCAATGCTACCACGGCTGCCTCTTTAGCCCCCATCAAGGAGCAACGGAACCTCATCCCTGGAGAACGGTCCAAACCCGGCGATATTTTTGTCCCTACTTGGAGCGCTGGTCGCCCAGCTGCTTTCGACGTCACCGTGACATCCCCGCTGCAGTTATCTCTTCTCTCTCGTGCGGCGGAGACCCCCGGGGCGTCCCTGGAAGTTGCTGAGGACCGCAAATTTTCGAAACACGAGAAAAACTGTGAGGAACAAGGAATCAGTTTTTTCCCGTTAGCAGTCGAAACGCTCGGGGGTTGGTCCGCTTTAGCTATCAAAACCCTCATGTCAGTTGCTATCCTCGCTGATGCCAGACGCTCTGGTTTACGTGACGCTCGTGTTGCCCCAGTTCGCCTTCTCCAGAGCCTCTCAGTGTGCCTCATGAGAGGAAACGCCACTATGATTGTCAGTCGGGCCATCTAGTCTTGTGCAGTTTATTACGTTTTTGCCTTCCCAATTCTGGTGCTCCTTTGTTCCTTTGCTGTTAGTGCATTCCCCCTCTCTTTTCAATCCTCAATGGTTCATCCCACATTTGTTGTTTGTTTTGTATTTGGTGTTTGTTGTGTATTCGGTAATTATATAATTAATTAAATAAAAAACTATTGAAAGCAGTAAGATACTATTGATTTTTTATTGCTAAGTGCCGCATGCTAAATTTTTTTAGATGGGGTCAGATAAAATGGGCCCTTCCGTCACGCGGCGGTCCGTGCACAGGTTGGATACGGCCATACCAACGCCATATGAATACATCGTCAAAGTTTTATGAATAAATCAAGTCGATTTTAAAGCATCCAGAGAATTGCCAACAGTATACTTTAGACAAGTTTGTTATTTGTTCATTATCTTGGATCAATTTGTATATTTTAACAAAATTTTCATCCTGTTGATGCACAATTTGTGCAAAACATTTGAATTAGCATTTCAAAAACAATTTCTTTATTTTACTTTAAATTTATTTTTTCAAATCGTTGGAGTCATTTCTAGAATTTTCATCATGTCTTGAGGACCTGAATTCATTTACTTGAGCCTATTTTGTCGATTATGCTGAGAGAGGTTCGTTTCAAGTTGATCCAGCTGAAATGGATTAACAGCACATTTTCTAACAAAAACTAATAGAAGTAATGGGTGCCCATCCCTGTTTTGAATGGCTGTTCGCTTGTTTTAGGTATCTAAATAACTGGCCATGGGGGCATTCTTATTTCTAAATAAAGCGGGCGTATTTTCGCAGTGGCTTTTAAGCTCTTAAGATCCTAAAGTTGCGCATATAAGCGAACCGTGATTTGGCGCTTATCAATTTTGACTCCATATGTAACACAGGTAAACTATTCTTACAATTTTACAGAAAAAAAAATTATAGAAACTGAATTACCAGTGTGCATATCAGAAGGATTCGAATTTCATTTTTTGAATGAAAACATAAAAAATGAGTGCACTAATTTAATTTAATCCAATGACTCTTCCATAAGTTGAAAAAACAAATTCGTACACGCGTTGGAGAACGAATGACCTCCAACGAAAACTCCAAACGAAGAATTACACAATTTCACAATTACACATTTTCACAATTGTGTAATTTCAAAATTACACAATTTTTCAAAAAAATTCTAATTTTCGAAACAAATTTTGTGATCTTTGAAATCTTTTCAATGTAAAACACTCTGAATTCCAATTGTAGATATCTGATGATGCCAGTTTTGCAAAAAAATTTTATATTATGTTTAATAATTAACTTTTTTGACTTCTAACTATTTTAAATAAAACCTAATGTCAATAACTGTGCCATCCGGTCATAATACGAGAAAGTTTTGCGTTGAGTTAAATTTTTCAACGTTTCAAATTGAGCCTGTCCTGAACAGTCTCTTCGTGATAACTGAATGTCAAAGGTAAAAATCAGAACATCCGAAATTTTAACTGCGAAGACTGCTAAATTAGTTTTTAGTCAATCAACTTTTCGCAAATGGCTCAATGAAACATCAATTGAGTAGAAGTGTCTCGTTCCTGACAGAAATCTAGAACAGCGCTTCCCCTTCGCAAACTGGCAGACCAGCACTCATGAGCGAACCAATGGACAACAAATTTAGGGAGGTATCCAATTGAAGTTAAACGACGGTCCAAAATTTAATAAAAAATTGCGAAACTTTTTGAGCTATTTAGTGATCTTAATATCGGCTTCATTTCGATACTGAAATACATTCCAGCCCAATTATATTTTCTTGAGCACTTTCTTGAGAATTTAAATACATGAGTATTTTATCAGCTTATAATTAGATACGGTTTAGGTTGATTCGTTTGAAACTAGCGACCCGGTGCAGCACTTGCTGCATTAAATTGATTTTAATATAAGTTTCAATTCATATACAAATATGCAAAGAAACATAGTTAGTTTATTTTGGTGTCGAAGGTCACCGGGTCCAAGACACTATCTTCAATCAACAGAAATCTATGGCCGCTCCTCCTTCTCTCCAGGACCTACGGAAAAGGAATAGAGGTCTCCAAGAAACCTGGAAGCCTCGGCTAAGACAAACCTCAGCACAACAGACTGTTCAAAAAGAAAAAAAAGACAAACGTAAATCTTACTGTTAAAATTGAAAATTAAAAAAAAACGTATACAGCTGTCAAATAAGACACATGTATGTCAGGGTACAACTCATAAATTATGCTTCATGTCCCTAAAACTGTTTAAAAAAGGATTAATGAAAACAAAAAATTTTTAAAACGATTTCCCATTGGAATTTTTTAAAAAATTTAAGAAATATTCAAGTAAAAACTCAATTTGAATTACAATGATCAGATTATACAAACTAAAAGAAACTGTAATGTATTTGCTGCCGTGTGATCATTTTATAAGAACGTTCAGGAGATTAAAACGCTGTTCTCCCAAACCACAATGAAGCCAAATGAGATCAAATCAGAAGCAAAAACCAAGGTACCGATAAACGCAACGCCGAAACAAGAAAATCAAAACGGAATCCGCGGCATCCCTGAACTAAACGACAAAGATCAAAGAAAAAGACAAGAAAATGACCTCCAACAAGTAAAGGAAATCTTGGAGCACATGCAAATTGTGCCAGAGATAGTTGATCTGTTCCGGATGGGTCAACGACAGGAAGGCAAGGACCGAACCATACTGGTAAAAGTCCCAATTTGGCAGAAACAACTAATACTATCATCCGCTTGCCGCCCAAAACTATATGACAAACCTGTGTTTGTCAGCCGCGAGCTATCAGTGGATGAAGCAAAATTTGAAAATCAAGCACTGCAAAAACGGCGGGAGCTCATAAACGAAAACATCGATAAACAAAACCTGCGCATCCGCGATGGAAAACTCTATGTAACATTCGTCTACTGCAGTCACACATGAGGCTTAAGAAAAATAGGCCCTATAACTATTGGCTCAAGAGTCAGGGACACTATCTCTTGTGTTTTTCTACCTCAAATCAGTCGGAGCCAATTCGGTTCGTTTGTGACATGAGACTACGACTCGTTACAGCTTAAAGGCTACTACTAAAATATCCCCCCACTCTAGAATTAAGAACGTCCTCATACTTAGGTCTCTAGATACCCAAAATACATGAACGCCGTTAAAAACCGGGTTGGAACAATCCGTTAAGTTACTTTTATTTAGACAGTGGAACTTTGATCCATTTCAGATGGATCAACCTAAAACTCGCCTTACCTCAACATAATAATCACAAAACACACTCTAGAAATTTAAATGTGTACTCACATTGTAGCACGCTCAAGAACTGGGAGTAATCAAGTCGGTAATCAACTCGAGAATCAAATAATGTAATTAAAATGAGTTTAATGTTTGTCAGTTTTAACAACAAGAACAAGTTCGTACTCTAGACTATAATTTCTCGTGAACCATTGGGACACTCAAGCTGTCCACCTTTCCACCGAAGGTTCACTCTAGTCCAGTTTAGAATAGTACTCCAGTCAAGTCACAAAAATCCAGTTCGTGGGAATACTCTTGTCTCTGTTTCGAATGGGACAGCTCTACTCTAGGTTATTGCTGTGTCGGAAACTGCGAATAGCAATTTCCTTCCGATTTTTCTTGCAACTTTCCCGCGATTGTCACTCGATTGTTCTGACTTCTCTTTCTTGACTTTCAGTTATCGCGAGAAAATCGTGCATGACATGCTCCATTCGAATTTTTGAAAAACTTAATTTCACCCTAAAATCAAGTGCTCTTGCTTTTCTCAAGGTCAAACTTCCAAATATGACCGACTGGCACATACTCCCCGGACTCAAGATCGATGTCCTCATCGCGTGCTGTCGTCTGCCAGTGAGTCCCCGAAAACCGAGTGTTGCTCAAGGTACAGTGCCAGTGGTCATTTACAGAAGTTTGCAGCAGACTTAAGCTTATCTACACCCCAAAATTCACGGCCATGTAAAATTTTCACACTATCGCTAAACAGCAATCAAAATCTGTGACATTCGACCAGAATGGCCAAAATGCAATCTCTGCAGAATTCGGAATATTAGCAGTAAGCCTTCCGGATTGGTGGTTTTTAAGAACTAAGGGCGTTATTGGAACGTTTAGCCAAACGGTGAAGGCTGGAATATTCTAGTATTTTAAAGTTTCAAAAATTCGAATGATGACGTCACATTTCTGAGAAATGCTGAAACGGCCATTTTAACAAAAAACGAGAGAGGAAACACAACAACAACGTTAGTTGCGCTGACGAGAACAACTTTATTGAAATTGAAGAAGTCGAAATTGAAGAAAAACAGCAGCAGAGTGCAGAGAACGTTCCGAGTTGCAACTATTGTGCTGCTACAATAGTTGCAAGGCCGTTGCGAACAACGGTGAAGGGTAAGAAACCAGCCTTCCGTGTTGTCGTGAAATCGAATTTAAGGAGCTTGATTCACCGGATTCAAGAATCCGGAAGGGTCTCGGGACGGAAAACTTTTATTGACTCATATGAACTTTTAGCATCCTGTCATGTCCTGACTTGAATTTAAGTGATATTTGGATTAGTTTTGACAAGGATGAGGTGCTAAGAGTTGGGGGAAAGGGTTGATCCATCTTCGATGGAGATGATGATTTTTATCTACTGAACAAAAACAATAGTAATATAATAAATAGTAGCCCTGTTTTTAGGAGTGACCTCGTGGTCTGGGGATACTGAGACCCAGCCATGAGCTCACTATTTTTGCATGTAATTCAGTTAATTTGACCGTTCTGGTCGAAGCCGGAGAACAGTAACGTTTTTGTCGACCCGATGTTAGAAAAGACCACCGAAAAGTACTGGCTTGGTAGAGACGGTGAAAAACATGCAAAGCTCTGTTTAGACGCTAGCCAGTCGTCTTAAGACTTAGTTTTGTTATCCGTCGATATGTATCTTCCGGGCGAATGTTACATGTATGTTTTTATGGCGCTCCGGGGTGTTATTCTTTCATAACATCATGACCGGCGGAACCGTTAACGAGCACTCCGCGCCGAGCGGATGCTCACATTAACGCCCTTAATAGGCCTAAACTGCCGGGGCGTAAGGGTAGTTCGGAACGCGGAAGCCTTCCGGATTACCGTGAATAGTTTTTTAACCTAGTTAAGACCGAAAATTCACGAACCAGGAAGGGTGGGGGGAATCATGAACCCCTCATCCCCTGAGTGGTTTGTGACCAAAAACACTTAAAGATATAAGCAAAACCAAACAAAAAGTAGTATAGTACCCAAGAAAAACAAAAAACATAAAAAAAAATAACCGAAAAAACCAAAAACAGTAAAAAAGTAAAAAATCAGTAGAAATCATCAACCCAGACAAGATGTGATTCAACCCCCCCGTTTGTTGTTGATAGATATATTGTTATTACAGGCATTTATATCAGTCAGGATCGTTACGATCAGTTTTATAGCCCGTTTGTGAGGCTTGTACTGTAGGGTTATTTGAGCATTTAAGCACGTTAATGATAAATTGCGCTCAATCCGGAAGGGTCAGCTGATTTGCGCTCAATTCGGAAGGGTCCTGGGTGAAGACCGATCCGGCAAGCAGTACAAGGAGCAACAAGAAGGGGCTCAACGACAACAACAATCGACTGTTGGGTATCGTTAACAAGTTTTGTATCCCTTTTGGTACAAAAAGTAAGATAGTAATCTGTGGGGGGCTCGACAGTGCTGCACTGTAGTGACCCTTCACCGAACTGCGAATATCCGAGTTAAGCACCTTAATTCGGATAATAAACAATCCCGGAGGGGTATAGTATTACTAATATTATTATTTATATAGCCTATATTAATAGTCTTATATCGTTTTTCAGTGAAAAACAACGAAAACAGACCGGTTTTTAGGGTCAAAATAGCAATATTTTGATCCCCCCACAAGTCGCGATTTTTGAGATATCGATATTTTTTGAAACGGAAAAAAGCGCTAAGTTAGTGTGTTACATCGTAACTGCACTACTGTAATAAGTAGAACCGGTTAACTTTAGTTCGGAAGTGGTTGGAACTAGTTTGGTACCAAAAACCAAATTTTCCCATTTTTGATAGTAAGAAACACTATAAAATCAGAAAATTTTTTGAAATTTTTGAGTTAGGACAGTAAAAATAGTTGTTCGGACAACGTCCACTAGTGAATCTACGAGTTTAAAACCCGCTACCCGAAAGCCTTCCGGGTTGCAGAGAAATCGAACATAACGTGTTTGATTTGGTAGATTCATCAATCCGGAGGGGTCCAGGTAGCATAGTTTTTCGCAAATTTTTTCTACAAAAGCGTTTTAGATCGGGTCTTTTGCATTGAACTAGAAGAGTATAGGCCTTTTGAGCTCAGATCAATAATTTTTAGGTCGAAAGGACCAGATTTGCGGAAAAAGTTAGGCGGAACCTATAAGAGAGAAAATTTTTGAGTTTGGAAAAAAGACGTTTTGGTTAATAACTTTGGAACTACAGAGCATATCGAGTCAATCTTGGTACCATTAGATCAGAAATTAGCTGAAATTACTAGTAGGAAAGAGAATTACTCGAAAAAGCGAGCGAGAAAATTTTTTGAGATTGTTTTTAGCAAATTACACAAATCCGGAGGGGTACACCCTTCACGTTTTATAAAATTTTCTGAAAAACCCTTATACCCCTACCAAAAAATGATAGCGATTGAACTAAGTAACTTAGGACAGTTCTAGACAAAAAGGGAGGGCTGAAGGCACAAGACAACCATAATAGAGTCGAAATTAGGCAAGTGATAAGACCCTTCACCGTTAGTGTGAATTGTCAAATAAGTGCCTTAACTTCAATCCGGAGGGGTCTAGGAAAGGACCCTATACCCTTCCCAGTTAATTCAAACAGCATAAAAGCAACGCAGAACGTATCCGGAAGGTATAAGCTGAAATTAAGAAAACTACGAAAAGCTACTTTGACAGAGCTAAGGGCTCCCAATCGGAGGGGTCGAAATTTTTCAAAGTCAGAGGGGTCCGAATCCGGAGGGGTCTCTTTTCCACAAAACCGGAGGGGTCCGAATCCGGAGGGGTCTTATAGTTGCTAATTCGGAGGGGTCCAAATCCGGAGGGGTCTACTATTAACTAACTCGGAGGGGTCCCAATCCGGAGGGGTCCATATTCTGACAGTCCGGAAGGGTCCTATTTGTGCCAATCCGGAGGGGTATTATTTTATTAAGGACTTAGGTAAACGAAAGAAAGACTAAAAAGCGAGAGGTATTAGGTTATTAATACACAGGCTAGGTATCAGTGACTGCACTGGTAACTTGCCTTTCAAAAAGAACCAGACTAACACAAAACAGGTCCGAACTCGGATATTCGCGACACTAAGTCTAAATTAAAAAAAGCGTGACTCATTGGTGTGGATTGGAACATAATACGTTTTTGGGAAAAGTGACTGCCCTGAGGATTTTAGTAGGTCTAGCTCGGGCAGTCCGGAGGCAGATAGGTAACACAGTACTCGGTGGGTGCAATAGACGCCCACTTGAGAAAATAACTGCCTTCAAAGTTTTGTCTGTTTGGTGCAGCACCAAGCAGGGAAAGCTTTTTCTTTAAAAGACAGGTTCGACTATTGTACTGCGACCGACTAAGAGTACAAGACACGTACGTTTTTTTTATATATACATTCATATTGTGTCAATATATATTTTTTGTTTTTGATTTTAAATCAACCTAAACTGTGCTTGATTGGGTAGTGAGTACACTATCTTTTAAAATTGACTGATAACATCATATTGTGCTAGTTTCCAGATCTTTGGACCGATAATCGGTCAGTGTGAATAAATTTTATACAAACTGTACTCTGACAACATACAGGGATTCGTGGTCACTATTTAATAGAATCTGGTGAAATTTATTGTGTTGTGTCATTATTATTGTTAATAAAACTATAAGGTCTCTAGCAATTGAGTCAAGAGTAGGCATAGGAAAGTGACAAATAAAGAATGAGTTTAGACAAGTCAAGGATACCAAAACGAGGTAATAGCTCTAGGAAATTGATACCTGAAAAGCAAAGAAAAACGATGACCGATCCTTTTGTGGATTGGATCAAGCGATCCCGGTCTGACAAAAGGGGGACGGTTTCAGGCAGAATGGTTGAAACGAGAAGTCAGAAGACCTCAGAAGAGCGAAGAGAACTATTAGAAGTGGAGGTCAATACGAACCATACCATGAACGACAACCAGGAAGTAAATGGATTGGAAGGAAGAGGCAGAAGGCTGGCGAGTGAATCAACCCCGGTAGAACAAGGCCATGATTTTGCCACTTCCACCGGGACATTGGATCGAGAAGAGATGTCGGAACTGTCCGTCATCTCAACTGAAGTAACGGCAACTAGAAGATCTCCGACAGACAACACTATGATGGCAAGCGGAACTGGGAAACAAACAACCTCATCATCGTTCTCAGAAAGAATGAAGAACACCTTCGGAAACATCTTTCCATTCAGCA